CAATGACAATGGTAAACTTGAGGAAGTATCTATATTCAAAGAAGTAATAACTCAGTTGCTTGTAGAATATAATTTAAATATTTGATGTAACAAAAGATAACTATGCCATAATGTAAAAAGTACTTTGATGCATTCAAATGGAACATTAAACAACAAAATGTAAGTAATCAACATTGGATTCCTATTTCAAAGTTATTTATAAAAATTAATATTTTTTAATATTTTTATTAGTTATTTGATATCAAGAATATTAATTATTTATCATACTATTGCATATATTCATAATAAAGTACCAATCATTAGAGGATATTAATTTTGAAGGTTCAATTTTATATATGCATGTATATATATATACTTATTGAAGTTGTACAATTTTTATTTTTGAATAGGATTAAAAATCAAGGAAGGATATTGAAAAAGACCAATAAATATAAAAGATGTATTACAAAAAAAAAATTTAACAAAAATAATCTATAACAAAAAATAATTTCATGTTCTTTGTGGATCATCTATAAAACTCTTTGATAAAAAAATAAATTAAAATCATATCTATATATATATATATATATATATTGTGATTTTAGACAAAGAAAGCTTTTAAGGCTTTGCTACTATTTCAGAAGGTGCTTATTCAAAAATAGCAACAAGAAAAAATGTAATAATAATAAAAATAATAATAATAAATAAAAAATTAGATTTTATACAAAAAAAGAAAAAAAATCTTAATTGAGTTTAAGAAGAAGAGAGATAAAAAGAAAGAAAAACTTAACTATCAGGGACATGAACAAATTCAGAACAAACTCACAACAATTTTATTTGATGATTGCACACATAATTTTAAATAAAAGTATTTAAGTAATTTTGAACTTTATAATATACTCTTGCATTGGCCTCTCATATAGAATCTATGGTAACAAGAAATAGGTTTTTAATTGCCCCTACAATCATTGGCATATATCCAAATAATGCAGATAATGTGTTTTTGAAACATAAAAAGAATGTAGATCCTGTTTTATTCAATTTGGTGTCTTAATATTTTTAATGATATTTAATTAAATCTTGATAGTAACATATTTTAATTTTGTATATTAGTATATCAGGTAGATAAAAATATAAAGAGACCCTCTACTTTTAGTTGTTTTATGAAATATAAGACAATTATAGATATGTCTAGCAAAACGTCATTGGATTGGGATGGTTTTTTGTAATGTGACACATGGCCAAAAACACCTATGTATGTACCTATGTATGTATATATGAATCACATAACTTCAAATAATAAAAGAATAAATTTAAAATTGCATCTAGCCTTGTTATGATTGCTATGATTTATTTATTGTCTTACAAAGTTACATTAATGTTGGGATCTCTTACCCTGTTTATGCTTTGGCACAGCCATTTTTAGAAATATCAAAATTTATAGTACTTTCAAAAATATTTTTTATTCTATATAATCTTACATGTTAATATTATATTCTGAAATATATTACACAGTCACGTTTATGCGAGGACGTTAGTTGTACAACTTCCTCCCTCCCTTCCTTCCTTTATTTATTAATTTATTTCACATACAATATTTTTCAAAATAGATACAAAAAAAAAAAAAAAAAAAAATCCTTTGTTGACCAAGTAGCATCTTTGATTAACTTTGATAATATATATATATATATATACTTACACACACAAATCTCTCTCTCGCTATATATATATATATATATTTCTGCATTATCAACTGGACCCAAGTAGCTCCCCAGTACATTATAATACATTTAATACAGTTTATGGTGAGAATGTTTCCTAACTTAGAGGCCAACCACTGCACGCTACTAAACGCTATGCCACACGAATGGTGCACCATGATGAGGGGAACTCAAAAACAATTAAAGGTACACGTAAAAGTAAAAGTATCAAGAACTCGAGGGATCCCGACCCCACCCGACGCGGCCCGGGATCCCGACCTGACCCGGCCCGTCTTGACCCGGGTGGGTGGTCGTCTCCGAGTTGCTGGTGGTTGCCGCCGTCTTGCGCAAGTGGCGTCGGTGATGCGAGATGCTAAGGGGGAGTGACTCGTCGCCCCAGTCTCGCGAGATCCATCCCATTGTCACGGCTCCACTTTCATTGCCCTGGTTGCACAGCATCATCCCTCGCTTGGGTTATGGGATCCTCCACTTGCTTGGACGTGCCCACACACGGCTGGACCCCTCCTCACCTCCGCCTCTTATCCTGCGCTACACTTTGCGATGCAGGAATCTTTGGGGGCGGGGGATCGCTCTCTCCCCCCCCCGCGCGCGCGCTTCATTCGTCGTCGGGAGTGTGGGAGACGTGCGCTTGCTTTAGTAGATGAGAGCTGTTACCGTCCGTGACTTTGAGACGAGCAGAGTGGGTTGTGAATGAACCCATGCGTCGGGGTACTCTCTGCTGGCGCTGTGAATCGTGTTGTGGCGAATGGTGAGCCTCAGCCTGTTTCTCGTGATTTCGCTTTTGCAGTCAGCTTAGATGCCGGATCTGCTCTGCCAAGGCTTTACGTTTAGTTTTTTTGGTGGGTGGTTTGCAGTAGCAACTTGGACATTCTCATGCTTTTGAAGCTAATATGTTTTTGGATACTAGCGAATTAATGCAAGTAATCGGGTTCTTCCTGGCGCTGCGGACTAGTGTTGAGCACCGGTGGTAAAGACTAGACGTATGAGCAGTTTAGTTGGTTGGAGTGCATGTTCTACTAGATGTTGGCGTTTCCTAGAATTCGGTGCTCTGTGGTTGTGGCGATTCCCTCTCATCTCCTTCACTGGACCACATTCTTCGACTAGATTTAGTGATTTGTATTGCGGGACTGCTCCAGGATCGCACCTCTTTGGGCATATCCGCGTGCAAGAAGGGTGGACACTTTCTTAGCGCTCACGTAGCTGGCATCTTCGTTAGTATCTCACCCGTCTTATTTAATTGTCGATCAGAATATTAGTTGCACTTTCGTGATCGTGAAAACACTATTGGAGGCTGAGAGCATGCTCGCATACGTAGTTCCCCTAGGTACCTTTCATTTACAAATGGTTGTGTTGCTGGTATTTTCCACAGCAGGTGTATCCAAGGTCCGGTGCCATGCCATTTGCCTTTCAGTAGCTTGTGCATATGCATGTTCTGTGAACGCCAAGTGTTTTGAAGAGCAACGTGCTGTTTTATTTTATTTTATTTTATTTTTCTCTATTCTCCAAACCATCGTTAACTTGAAGCTGAATGTGGGATTATGCATCTAAGGTCTAATAATTATGATTTCTTCTATATCCTTTTGACCCGAACGCAATTGAACCTACTACTCCCTAGGAACCAAGTAGCACCACTTGGTGAGGTTTAATTCCTTCTCAGAAATGAGGGTAGTTCCATGACCAGGGTTCTTATACAATCTCGGATGCATGCGATCATATCACTGGTTAAAAAAATGAAGATATCCCCTTTGTCTCCACCTACAATCGTGATATTTTTAGATGAATTTGTCGTATATTTGGCGCTTTTAGCGAAGGGATGGTCCTAGCACGTGCAAAGAAATGCGTCTACCCAGTCGCAGCCAAACCGGAATGTCTACACTTGTTGCTAGTGTGCCCTGCTCAGTTTAACCGAACTGTGCATTGGAATCCTAGTTTTAATACTGTTGATTGAGCTTGCGGGGTTCCTATGTTGTAGCTAGGAGGTTTTGTAGCCGCAACGTTCCCAGCCTGTTTTATCTTTTGGATCGTGAGTCGTGCCACTGACGTTTTAAAAGATAATTTATCTTGTAGCTCTTTGTTTATTCAGTGCCTCATTGATACGAATTCTACAGTTTGGCCTAGTCTTCAAACAATTTCTTCAATGCCATATGAATTAATCGTGACCATAATCTGCTCCTCGTATAATTGTTGCGAAGTTCCTGGGTACGGTTCTTTTCAAATATTTGCATCTGATGATGCTGAGACTGATATGTGATTTAATTTTTGTTGATCAGCGACCGCGTCATTCTGTTACAATTGACGACGATCGAAGATAAAAGCGTCTTTTCCTAATGCCTTGAAGCGTCAAATGAAATAAGTCGGCATGCGGAGCAGACTGCCATTGACTCTATTCCACAGTTTTACAGTGGAAGATGCGTGTCTAAGTGAAGCAAATTCACTTGATAGGTGCGACAAGGAGTGGTGAACTTATTCGCTCCAGTGAAGCTTCCATCATCAATGCCATTAACTGAGATCCTAGTTAGGGTGCCCATTACGGATACTACATTTCCTTGACCGCCTGGTTAGTGACAGTCGAAACAGTCCAAGTATGACGTAAATCGCTTCATTAAATGTGGCATTATCTGTAACCCAGTATCGTAAAGATGTGGCGAGTGAAGGAAACAGCACGATCGCATTTCAAGTTACGTAAGTCATTGTATGCTTAGTGCACTTGAGAGAAATTAACACCATGCGATTCGTTCTTTTCGAAGAGAACTGCAAGGTTGAAGAAGTAACTATTGAGCCATAGCCTTTTTCGCCGCATTTCGTGATCTTAAGTGGAAGGTGAGAACAAAGTATCGCCATTTTGCTGGGCGTGTCGTAGGCTTGAGTGGCGACTGAGGCCGTTAACAAGCACTTGCACCGCAGAAATGGGTAGAGATTGCGTGAACAATTGCCTGTATCGCATCCGTCTGACAGGCATAGGCATGAAATCGACCTGTATCATCTTCACAAATGTCAAGCTGCCTGCACTAGTCCATTCTTTGTTGTGTAGGGAAGGGGAAGGACGACATAGACTCAGCTGAGTCGTTTACCATAGTATCCAAATGTACAGATGGTAGACTTGAGAGCTTCTGCCTATGCCAGAAAGTAGTCAGTACCCCACATTGCAACTGCTCATGCGTGTGCGTGGTTACATCTGCTAAGTCTGCATCAACAGCTTGTGTAGTTTTCCGTGGTACTTCATTTCTTTCGGAATTTGATCGCTTGCTGTCGATCGCCTCCATCTTTTGGCGAGAGAGACGGTTTCTCTCGAAAACTCTTAGCTTTTGCACCTCCATTTTGTTGAATTCACAGCGCTTAGTACCCTGCAGATCCAATTGCTGGGTTTCAGTTCTATACCTAAGCTAGCTGTTTTGCCTGAAGTGTCTTCTGTAGTTACACCACAAGAAACATTTGTACATTTACCTTTTGCCGTTCTTGGAGTGAAAACCCTGATGAATTAGGTGACTTGAGCTGTGAGGTAGCTTGATACTGCTTGCTTTACCCGCTGTATTGCCTGTAGTAGAGGCTGATTACATTATGTCCTTCGCTGCTTTCACTAAAGTTGTGTTCACGGGGCACATCGCGGATGCTATCTCACGTCAAAGGTGCACCGCATTAATGAATATGCCTACGCGTCCACAACATGCAGGTGCGTGCTTTAATGACCTGGTTGTTCTTAGGGCGATCAAATGATCATCTCAGATCTGCAGATGTTGCTGCGTTGCTTTTACCTTTTATTGCTTTGCGGTTTAGATATAGTCTTCCCAAGGGTAATTGTTTTTTTGGTATTGTACGCTATTTGCAGGATCGCTCTGGATCCGTGATGCCATCTTTCCAGGCTTGTGCTTCTTACACACGAAGCCTATTGGGTACGTTTGCATGTTTTTCGAATGGTAGTCACAGTCTGCGGAGATGTAGAGGGTGGAAATAGCCATTTTTTTGGACTTGTGAATCTGCTACAATGCTGGCAGCCTGTATTAATGCCAGATAGCTAAGGAATAATTATGTTTGAGATGATGTTTAGAGAATTGGGTTGTATGAAAATGAAATAAACAGAGTAGGATTAATTGAGGGCTGTGTCCATTTTCGCCAGACCTGTTATGGATGATCTGTTTGTTTTTCTGCAGATCTCTGACTCACAGCATTCGGAAATTACGCCAGGTATTCAGTCTTCCATTGGCGTCAATTCTGCGTGCCTTCGTACTTCTGTCCTTACATTTATAGATTCCATCCTTTTCCCTTGTTCATCGAACTCAATGCCTGGTGTAAACTCCTTGGCTCACACATACACACACACACACACATTATATATATATATATATATATATGTATTTAATCAGTGCAGTGGTTGCCAGAGTTGTGGAGGTACAGCGGCCTGCCCAGGTGTGGAAGCGTACAAAATGGGAGAATGCCACATTTCGATTGATAGAAAATTTGCACGTGTGGTTCCAAAATCGAACAAAGCGGCAATAGCTGTTGCCGCTGCAGTCGACGATTAGGCCACATGGTCGATGTGACAGATCCTTTTGGTTCCAATTTTGAAATAGAATACTGTTAGCCAAATGTTACTTTAGGACTTAGCTCTAAATTTGACTTCAATCAGTTCAAGTCACTCGTTCACTTGTTCCCACTAGGGCTCACAGCCTCCATTCTGATTAAGTTCCAACCAGCCATTCCACGGTCATTGTTGAAGGGGTCCTTAATGCTACTTGAAATGCAGGATCGAATGAAGGAGCCCTCTTTGGGACCAGAATATGCACAACTTCTAGGATTCCAACTAGGATAATCAAGTAGCTCAGTGCTCTCATTTCTAGAGATTCATCTCTCTGTAGATGCGAAAATCTCTTGTAGTACATTGGGTGATTATCAAAATCTCCAAAGGTGATATTATCAGGCGTGGCTCAAGCATGAACTTTTCTTCAGATTTCAGTAAAACTTCAACTATAGATTTGCTGGGGAACCACTGATGAGCGCATCCTGTGCGTTTCCTCTTCAGTAAGGGAAACTATCTCCCCTCCCTTGTATCGACTTCTAGTCTACGAACGCGATTCAAGCAATAAGATGGGCAGCGTGTACAATGTGGATAGTTTGCCATATGTTCTCTCTGATTAAGGTTAATTGGCATAAACCAATGGTTGTCTGTTGTCCCGATCGGTTAATGTCCACAATCATTGTTTTTGTAGCCATCGTGATGTCAAGGTTTTCTGTCGGGTCTTTTGTCCTCTAAATGACGTCAACTCTACTATCAACCTTCAATTTTCCTCAACACGGTTTCAGGTACAGTATCTGTACAGATACTATAGGCGCGCCCAAAGGTCCGAATAGAAAAATGAGCTTGCCTACTGCTTTCCGACCACTTTCTGACTCCTTGGAGATCCATAGCCAACAGCCTCCGGACGATGACCGAGCTCGGATGAGGCACAGTGTACCACGGAACACGATCCACCCACTTTTGTCTGACGCCATTGAAAAGCACATATCAGTCGTGCAATCCAGAATATCATTTTCTCGTTCGAGATTGTCCTCTCTGACAGGGAGGAGGAGCTGCAGCTGGGTATTTCGTGGTGGGCACCCCGAATTCTGCTCACATGCTGCCACTAATGGGACTGACCTGAATGCATACCTTCCAGCATCGAACTGCACCCACTTTGCGTTGATGCTGGTCATCGGTCTGGGAATAAAAATCCAGTGCACCGGAGCGAGGGGGTTGTCGCATGAACCATCTCACTCACCGATGGCCTGCAGGCAATGCTTTGGTTAGCTCAAGGGAACTATGGCGCTCAGAAGCCCCCAGCCCCCGTTGTGCTGTAGTTGAAGTTACTGAATTCTCACTCACACTTGTAATAATAATCGGGCTTTGCTTTGTTTTACTACTAATCAATGCTTTGCATCTTAATGTATTGAATTTATACTTAGCATCAAAAGGATACATCCCTTCATGTTTCATAAAAGAAAACCCATCTTGCTCAATAACAATCAATAGCACCTTATTATTCAATCCATATTATGCAATCCAAGGGGATACTACCATCAATAAAACATGATTTACTAGATATTTCTTGTCTAGTTTGTTCATATATTGCTTCTTTGCCTTCTCCAATTCTTGTTCAATTGATTGATGTTTCATACTTGTCCATTTTGTATATTTGGCAACTTTATAATTGTTACACTATATTAGAATCTGAAGCTCAAATATGTGAAAAGCATTGTGCTTTGTCATGTGATACGGCATTGGGTACCAAATCTTGTAGAATGTATGTAGTTTAATTTGATTAGTGGTTTTTCATCCATTGATAGCTTTTTTGTTAATTGACTTTATTCATATTAATTAGAGTTTGAATACATAAGTGTGGAAAAATCCTTCACTTGACAATCTTGTCAAGTCAAGTCTTATGAGTGATTTTGAAAGTGAGAGAACTTATTATAAGGATTTGCTTAGCTATGGTATTTTAGCTATTTTAGTAAAACTTTAGGATTTCTCTTATTTTCACACTTGCACTCTTAGATTCTCTTTTTGTGGTATAAGAGATAATTTGACTTAGTTTGGTGTAGATTTCTAATCTTTTACTTGATAAGAATCTCTCATTTTCATCAATTTTTGATATAACAAGTTAAAATAAAGTAGATTAAAAAAAAGAAAAAAAAAAGAAATAAAAAATATTTTGATTTTGTTAGATATTGGATACTACTATGCTAAGCACCAGAATTCAATTGGGTTGCACTGTCATACTATCGCAATGTTATGATATTGATACAACTTTGTATTAGGCACTGAAATATAGTTGGATGAATACATATTACTTTTTTTTATTGTAGTATAATACTAGAACTACGAAGGGATATCAAAGCTGCAAGGCAACTTTGAAGTTGCGAGGCAGTATTGAGGCAGTACTAGAGTTGTGAGGTGATAGTAGAGCTGCAGAGATGCACTGACAAGTAATATTAGAAGATTACAATAAGAAGATTGCAATAAGGTCATGTCTTTGAATAGGATCAATGCAAAAAGAATAATATAATGTAGAAAGTAGCAAGGTAATTATGCAATGAGAGACTGCAAAATGGCCATCAAAATAGTACAATATAGGATCATGGTGATAGGTGCAAACTATTATGTCAGGAGATACAACATGCACATGGAGCTTATTTGCAAAGAATCATGATGCGTTGGATAATTAAGTACTGAGTTGTAGCCATTTATTTATTTATTTATTTATTTTTGTTATTTTGGGTGTGATACATCATTAAAAGTGACATTGGAGTCACTTGGTGAGGTGCTTTGTGCAATGCAATATATCATAAGGATTTGGTATAAATTGCAAGAAAAACAACAAGAATCTATGGCAAAAGATGACAACAAACAATAGCATGTGGCGTTTGTTTATGGCTCAAAGCAACAATTCACAATCATAGGATTGCAATGATAGGATAATATGGTTAAAGGTACTTCATTGTCAAGGAACCATGGAGACAAGATACCATGATCAAAGAGGGTCCACAGTTATAAGACCACGGTCATAGGATTTTGTAATCATAGTTTTAATACATAGTTACATGATATTTTAAATTAAAAAAAAAAAAAAAATACATACACACCCACATACATACATTGTCTAGAATTCTTAAGTGTCAAGTTTAGAAGCTTACTTCAAGTGTATATGGAGTCCAAATATGATTATTTTTTAGTCAATTTTATGTAGATGAGGTTCAAGGAATCTATTGGCATGCTTAATTTTTGAAGTAGAGGTCAATTGGAGCATTGAAGTAGAATTTACTAAATACCAAATGCTTCTTAAGTGAGCTTTGATTTACTTTTACTTTTTCACACTTCATTTTATTGCAATTATCTTTTATTATTGCATATTTTATAATTTATGACCATCAATTGCAAACAAATACCAATTATTCTGGTTTACTTTTAATTTTTGCTTATATGTTGTTGGAGATGGGGATCTAATGTAGATTTCTAGATTTCATTTTTAATATCTTCATCTAATTGCGGATATTATTTTCAAAGGTTTTCTATGGTTATCTCATTTTTTATTTGTAGTAGTTTATATTAATAGGTATATTGTAGGAATGAAGTTGGATTGATGGCCAACAAGCTCTTTTTATTTGTAGATATATTGGTCTTATAATAGTCTAGAAGTGATTGCCAATGAAGTACAAAGCTTCGTGGTTTTGTAAGCGCAAATTATTCTTTTAGTCTTTAAAAAGTTGCAAGTACATAAGTAGTCTTTTTTATGGTATATACTAGGAGTCAATATTATTGATTTTCTTCACCAAATTACTTAGATAGTATCTACACTAAAGATTTTGGACCAAAAATTGATACTAATAAGACTTTTTAATATGTTATAACATTGGATACCATTGGAAGCTTTGGATCTTGGGAATAGACACATTTTATGAGATGGAAGATAATCCTTATAACATGGTGAAGGATAAATTTTTAGGAAGAATTGAAGGCATTTATTTATTAGATTAGAGACTTAGATTTCAAATATGGATGAAGGAAAAGTATTAAAAGTCTCCACTTTCAATGAGTGATATACCTTTGAGCTTTTATCATAATATTTGGAACATGAGGTATTCTAAACTAATGAAAAATGAAGTGAGGAACACTTATTTGAATTGCATGAAGTGCAACATTATTTAAAGGCATATATAGAGCTTATTTCACTTCTTAATAAGAGTGCTATCTCAAGCTTTATGCCTACAATGAAAAAAAAGATCCAATCTAAAGAGAAGTTTATACATCTTTAGAAGATAACAAAGGAAAAAGAGTAGCTACTTCCTTAACCAACACTCCAATTACTTTGTCTCATATGACTCAAGCAATGAAGGTAGCTTTATTTGCAATAGAAAAGCTACCATCATTTGAACTTCTCTAAATGTTTATTAAGTAATTGAAGTAGGAATATGGAGGCTTTAAGTGTAATCAAATGTAATGCATTTAAGACTTCTTCTATGAAAAAGAAGATATTCTATGTATTGTATATACTCATTTGGCTTGATTTGTGATAGAGGCATAAGATGTGTTTGTTAAGAGCCAAATTATTAAGATTTTCTTAACTAAAATTGATAAGAGGCTCTGATATTTAGGCACATCAAGAATTATTTATAACTATGTTAGCAAGGTAATATTGGCACAAGCATTTGCTGAAGTTGAGAAATGTGATAAGATACTTAATTAACATGATACTACTGATATGATAGCTTTGATGATGGATGTGTATAAGTCCAAAAAGATGGCAACTACTACAAGTAGCTTGAAAAAAAATCAATTTGAAAAGACTATCCATTATTAGAGGTATGGTGAATTTGGTCACATAAAGAATAATTCTAACTATTCTAAGAAAAAGAAAGCCTTACACATGAAGAAGTCTAAATCAAAACTTGAGATGGCTAAAATAGGAGATAAATCTAAAAATAATAATTAAAGTATATTCAAAGTAGTAAGCTTAATCATACTAAAGATAATTGCTTAATATTACATCTATACAAATAACTTACTTTTAATAAAGAAAAGGCCTTAGAAACTAAAAATTTTGAATTAGAAAAGAAATTCAATAGTGTAGCCTTATTAGGCCAAGTTACTAGTTCTTATGTAACTTTAAGAATTTAAATAAGTTCTTCTTCTCTTGAAAATTATATGTTTAATGTATTAGGACAAATAATGGTTGTAGCTACAATATATACCTAAACAATAACTAAGAATATGGCATCTAAAAAAAGTGAGGTACTACAATCTTTGTTTGGCCATCCAAAGAATTGTAGAAATCCTAATATTTATGTACAATTGCCTTTATCATTTGGCCTTTTGGATGTTAATTTTGTAGTAAAGCCCTCTATTTCAAATTCAACACAAGATGAAGATATTAGTATTAAAAATATAATTTATACTTTGATTTATAAAATAATAAATATACTTATATTTTTTAGTATTGACTTTTTGAATTCAAAATTTAAACTAACAAAGATCTTTTAATTGGCTAGTAAAATGTTAAAAGGCAAAGTCCTTATGTCATTATTATATGGAGCTCAATCAGTTACAAAGCCTTCAATACGAGAGGATTTAGTTGAATTACAAGCAA